ACATGATAGAGATGAGGTTAGCTTTTAGACCAGTATTATGTATTAATTGTTAATAAAAAAACTAAGCTAATATTTGCAAATGTAAGATAAGCTCAATTCAAATCAGAAAAGGTTCATTTTTTATAAGCCAACGTTGTATCGAAAAAGAAGTGTTTTCCAAAGATATCGGAGGTTTAAAACAAGACAACTTGGTAACTGGTAATAATTTTTTTCTACAAAATTTATGAGGGTTCAATTTAAACAAACTGTGTAATCAGAGGGTGCATTTTTTGTTCTTTCTAACTGAATTTTTTTTTTTTCTTTTTAATACTTTCTTGGGCTGGGGGAGAGGGGGTACAATCTATGTATACGGATCTGACATCTGACATCGAAAGCAATTCTTACACTCGTAGATGAACCTTTACGTGCCGTTTATTTTTGAAGTTTTATTTACTTTATTGAAAAAAGTAAATAAAAAGTTATTTTTCAGCAACACAGCAACAGCTCATTAAAAATGGCATCTTCGTCAAGTAGAATGAAATTTGCAAAGAAAGCGGCTGAAAAAGTAATTCACCCACCTTTTTTAAAAACAAACATTGCTGCGGGTATGGCTAATCCCAGTCCACCCTTGGGTCCTCAATTAGGTCAGGTAAAAGTTTTTATAAACTGTATCGTTACATTAAAAGAATGCGTAGTATTACTTCTAGTTTCAAGCTCACTGAAATTTTTCGATTTTATTTTTCTTATCTTTTTCTAATGCGCGTAAGTATGTGTATATATGTTAATACGTTTTAAACTTCAAAAATGAAATTTTGCAGAGAAATTTAAATGTGGCAGCGTTTATCAAGGATTTTAACGAAAAAACTGCTCACTTAAAGGAGGGGATTCCAATACCATGTAGAATAAAAATAAATCCTGACAGATCATATCAATTAATTATGCACAAGCCACCAGCAACGTACTATCTTAAACAAGCTGCAGGAATTCAGAAAGGGAAGATGAAACGTAAGTCGATAGTTCTCTCTAATGACTTCTATACTGGCCTAGACACGTAATGTACTATTTTAAATTGCAATTATTTGTGACAGTATATAGAAAGAAACTTAAAAATTGTAACTGGCTTAACTGTTGATTATATTTAAAAAAATTTTATTACCAAATGACAAAAAATTTATTTGTCAACATCAGTAATTCTTCAATTTATTAAACATGCAAAGTAAATTCTTAGTATAAGAAGGCAATAATAAATTGCTGTATCATTTGGTTTTCTTGTAGCTGGGGAAGTTGCTGGTAAAATAACACTGAAACATTTGTATGAAATAGCCAAAATTAAGTCTGAAGATCCCTGTCTAGGCTTGATGAGTTTACAGCAAATTACTCAAATGTTAGTAGGTACTGCCAGAACTGTTGGAATTGAAGTAGTACGACACTTGGATTCTGAAGAGTATAAACAATTTTTGGAAGAAAGAAAACTTGTAGTTGAACAAAATCTTAAAGAATTACAAGAAGTTAAAGAAGCTAAAATGCTTCGAACTGCTTAAGTGAATTATGATTAAAATTAATAGGTACATTGAGTTTTGTTTTTACTGTGTATGTTGTACATTTATTTGATTTAATGTTGATGAGTTTTTGTTTGGTAAAAATGAAATATAATAGCACAACAAAATCATTTTATTGTTATTAAAAAAAATTTAAGTCGCCTTAATCATTCTCAGTTTTTTACTTTTTTTTTTTTTTTTTTTTTTTTTTTTTAAAAA